AGGCATTCTGGGAATATTGGGAACGCTGGGAATACTGCGGTTTGAGATGGACTCTGAGGATAGTGGGGACTATGAGAATATTGGCGACTCTAGGTATAGTAGGTATTCTGGGAATAGTGGGAACTCTGGGAATAGTGGGGACTCTAGAAATAGTAGGCATTCTGGGAATAGTGGGAACTTTGGAATATTGGGGACTCTCGGAATAATGGGGACTTTGGGAACTCTGGGAATAGTGGGAACTTGGGAATATTTGGGACTCTAGAAATAGTAGGCATTCTGGGAATAGTGGGAACTTTGGAATATTGGGAACTTGGGAATATTTGGAACTCTGGGAATAGTGGGAATTCTGGGAATAGTGGGAACTCTGGGAACAGTAGGCATTTTGGGGAATATTGGGAATGCTGGGAATACTGCGGTTTGAGATGGACTCTGAGAATAGTGGGGACTCTAAGAATAGTGGAGGCACATGGAATATTGAAGACTCTGGGAATACTGCGGTTTGAGATGGACTCTGGGAATAATGGGAACTCTGGGAATAGTGGAGATCTGGGAATAGTGGGACCTCTTAGAACAGTGGGGAATCATGGAATAGTAAGGACTCTGGGAATATTTGGAACTTTTGGAATATTGGCGACTATGGGAATTTTTGGGGACTCAGGTAAAACTGCAATATTTAAGTGGCCTTTCGAAGTTCAAATGTATAAACGTTCCCTTCTTTGTCTCTTGGAATAGTGGGGACTCTTGAGAAAATCCCCCAAAAAGACTAACTCTAACTCCATAAAAAAACGGATTTTCACAATAAATAAGAGTTCCTGTTCTCTGTGTTTCAGGTACGGAGCGCGCTGGGAGAGCAGCTTCCTGTGTCGCCTCAGTGGTTTCCTGTGTGTGTTCGCCTCTCAGACCGGACTCTTCCTGCTCACTGTCGCAGCTCTGGAGCGCTGCACGGCCGCCTCATCCCGAAACAAACCTGACGGACACAACGGTGAGGAAAACACACACACATTCATCAAAGAGATCATTTATTTACATTACCGTATTGACCCGAATATAAGACAGGAATCCTTTGAAACTAATGGTTATAGAGACTCTGGGAATACTGAAGATTGATGTTTGTTCGGACTGGGAATACTGTGTATATTGTGGGGACTTCAAGAGTACTGCAGTGTGTGTACGTGGGAATATATTGGGTCTTTAAGAATAGTTGGACATTTGGGAGTTGTGGGGACTCTAGGAATACTGTGGTTTGAGATGAACTCTGGGAATAGTGGGAACTTTGAAAAATATTGGCGATGTAGTAAGCAAGTTAATAAACAAGAGAGGCGAAGTTACGATGCCAATTTTAAAGGGGACCTATCATGCAAAATGCACTTTTGTACGTCTTTTCTACATGAATATGTGTCCCCGGTGTTCCAGGGAACTCACCAAGTGTCAGAAAACACAACCCTCTCTATTTTCCTCCATACCCAAATCTCTAAAAAAGGGGCTGCAACGGATCTGATAAAAACTGATCCAGATTTGAACACTGTCCTGACGTCAGGACGGTGGCGCTACGGCTATTGGGCCAACTCCACCAATCAGGAGGAGACAGCCACGGCCATTGCCGTTCGAAAGCGCTGGAGACGCTGTAGTACATATGCCAGGCCTGTAGATGGTGCTGTTCTCACAGAATCAGCCCTTGCAAAAACAGAGCTAAAAAATGTCAAATTGAGCAAAATGAGGCATGGCTAAAATGCATGATCTGTTTGGTATTTTGAAAAAAAAGAAGTATAAATATGCCTTATATAGGCATGGTCCTACACTATATTATTCAAATATAGCATGATAGGTCCACTTTAAGATAATGGTGATCAACAAAGCAGAGTCATCAAACAACTGTCGAGCAGCGAAGAAATATGGTGTTACTGAGTCTAATGTGAGAAGATGGCGAGCCCAAAAAGACCGTCTTAAAAATGTAAGCAGTCAGAGAAAAGCATAAGATAAGATAAGATACGAAGTACTTTATTGATTCCAATTTGGGAAATGTTTGCATTGCAGCAGCATAAAAAGACATGTACAATCAAACTTTAAAAAATTGAATAAAATACGGTATTATTTAATATTTCTCCTTCCTCTCTACAGGTCGCTTTTCGCCACCACTCACCCTCCGTCTCTCCATCTGTTCCTGCTTCCTGTTTGGACTCTTCGTCACTCTCCCCCCCCTGGTGGTCGGTCACAGTACTTCCTCTCTCTGCCTTCCTCTTCCCTCCTCTTCGTCCTCTTCCTCCTTTTCCTCCCTGGTGTTCTCCGTCTCTCTGGTGCTCCTGGACTCGTTGTGTTTCCTCCTCATGACGCTCGCTTACACTCGTCTCTACTGCCGCCCGGAAAAAACTCCACAAACCACCACCACCACAGAAGAAGAAGAAGAAGAAGCATCGTTTACTCGACATGTCGCATGGCTGCTTTTTTCCGACTGCCTCCTCTTCCTCCCTGTCGCCTTTCTCTCGTTTTCCTCGTTGCTCCGTCTTCCCGTTGCCGATCCAGAAGCGGTGAAAGCGTTGATTCTCCTCGTGGCGCCGCTTCCCTCGTGCGTGAATCCACTTCTTTTCCTCCTGTTCAACGTGGCGGCGAGGCACGATTTGGCCGCACTGCTGAGACTCTGCAGAGGAAGAGGACGAGGAGGAAGGAGGAGGACGGCGGCCATGTTGGATTCCACGTACAACGACAATGATGAAGACGCGGAGAAGCAGTCGTGCGACTCGACGCAGGCGCTGGTGGCGGTCGGAGGAACGAGGGAGGAAGAGGAAGAGGAAGAGGAGGAAACAGGAAGGAGTGAAAAGCGTTCAGAGGCGTTTGTTATTCCGCTTCAATAGACTGTTAGAGAAGCGACCTTTGATCCTTCTGGGTCATCGAGAAGGCCATTCGACTACAGCCAATGACTTCCTATTGGACAACACACACACACACACACACACACACACACACACACACACACACACACACACACACACACACACACACACACACACACACACACACACACACACACACACACACACACACACACACACACACACACACACACACACACACACACACACACACACACACACACACACACAGACAGACAGACAGACAGACATACATACACACACACACACACACACACACACACACACGCACGCATACACACTCACACACACACACATACACACACACACACACACACACACACACACCAATATACTGCAGACTAACAGGACCGTGTTGTAGCAAATGTAGCAGAGAACCAGTAAAGCGAAAAAATACAATTGAACCTTTAAAAAAAATGTATGATACTTTAAAAATAATCCTATTTCTTCTTCACACACACACACACACACACACACACACACACACACACACACATAGATACACACACATGTTCACACACAAACGCACTTAATGAGCAGCCAGCAGCTTTTATTTTGAAATATGACACCATTTACAGCATTGTGTTACCAAATGTTCTACCAAATGCTGTCGAGTGTTATGTGTGTGTGTGTGTGTGTGTGTGTGTGTGTGTGTGTGTGTGTGTGTGTGTGTGTGTGTGTGTGTGTGTGTGTGTGTGTGTGTGTGTGTGTGTGTGTGTGTGTGTGTGTGTGTGTGTGTGTGTGTGTGTGTGTGTGTGTGTGTGTGTGTGTGTGGGTCAGTCTACAGCTAATGTGTTTTTGTGAGTGTGTGTGAAAACTGCAGCGTCTGTGTGAGTTTCGTCAGAGTCGACCCCCCCACAAACCGTAAACTGAACAACAGGAATCAGCTCATGTTCAGCAAAATAAAATAAAAACTCTACTGGTTCCTCAAAATATACATTTTCTGTAATTATTTATAACGTTAAAACTTTAGTTCAAAGGACACTATCTCATTAAAATACCAAAACAAGCAATTCATTGTTAATTATTATATACAAGTACCTCCTGTCCTGCCACAGTCTGATATCGCTAATTATTGGAACGTGTAAAGCGTCAAATGTCCTGAAAAATAATGATTAATTTCTGCAACATTTTTGTAAATGTATGTTTTTTAAATGTTTACCGATGTACGAATATTGTCCGATAAATGAGAGAAAAACTAAAAGTGTATTTCGTAACTTACATAACTAAGTACATTTGCGTATTAAAATGTACTTAAATTAACCCAAACCGAAGTCTTTTACTAAAACTAACCAAGTAGTTTGGTTTGAATTCGCAACGCTAACACGTTTTTATACCGGCTACCCTGTGTCTGTATGTTCTGATTTCGTATCGTAACTTAATTTACGTAACAAAAATACTTATATTAACCCAACCCGCAATCCTTTAATAAAGCTAACCCACTAGTTAGGTTTTAATTCACAACGTTAACCACGCATTTCAAACTGTATCCGTCCTTTTATGATGAGTTTGGAATGAGAAAAAGGCGTCAAATAAAACGTAAAAAGCTTAAAAATCGTCAAAATAACCTAAGAATGTCGTGTTTTAGTATTGATAGGTAAAAAAACGATCTAAGCCATTTCGTCCCCCGTAGTAATTCGGCAAAATACATATCTGTTAGCGCTACAGCTGAAATTATACTTAAAATGTATACTTGTGTCGGTATTGACCATCCATGCAGCTAAACACACTGTGATGCACAGTTTTGATGTTTGATGACCAAAAAGATTTAGTAAATACCAGGATTTTTGTATGTTTAGTTGTACAAAAACTTTCACTGGATGAAAAAATACCCTTTATAAATGTGTGTGTGTGAGCGTGTGTGTGTGTGTGTGCGAATGTGTGTGTGTGTGTGGTAAATGAGTGTACATATTGTAAATACGAGCTACTGTGACAATCCTATTTTCCTATCGTGTAGACTGAGAACGTACTTGTACATTTACACTTTCAAATGTCTCTTATTCAGATTAAATCCAGATATGTTTTTATTACATTTTATTTACACTGGTATCATAAATACTGGATAAAAAAAAACGTCTTAACTTCAGTCGAGATTGTGGTTAATGGTTTAAATATTAGCTAGCTTTCCGATCCGCATGAAGTGCCTCGGTGTAAATGTTTGTAAGATTGTGATGTAGCCCAGAAATGTTTATTAATTTTTGTTTTGTTACAAAATGTAAACATGTCAAAGTTTTAATACCGCATGAGTGTGAAGATTCGGGAAATTCTTCGTGAACATACACTTAATACACGAGTATTACACAAGTAGTAAAAAAGTCACTTACTAGCTAGCTTTCATTGATGGTTTCCCTCATTTTTGCGCAGTTACTTACATTACTTAATTTACAATACTTAACGCTAAAACCATGCGAACTACATTGTTTCCTCATTGAACTCTATTCAATGAGGAAACATGGTTGAAAGCAACGGAAAAAAGGACTTTGAGAGATACGATTTTTATTTTTATTTTAACGTCGATATGGTAGGACAAACAAAACAAAAAAGTATGAATTTGTAATTGTGAAAAACACGTTAACTTTGCCAGATGGGAATTTAAACTAGGACATCAAATTGTTAATTGTTAAAGATATCGTTAAAGTAAATCCGAAAAACGAAATGACTGTGACCCGTTTTTTTTTACAGAACTATCGTATTTCAGGAAATACCTACGAGAATAATAGCGGTTAACGTGTAATTCTACAAAACAGATGTTTATCGTAAAATGTATCGCATTTTTATGGGCATTATTGATACAGAGGGATAAAAGATCGTACAAATACGCTAGTTATCGTACATCTCCCAATGTTTGTCGACAGCTATAAAAAATATATTTTTTAAACGCAGTGACTTTTTGAATGTCCGTTGTGTGTGTGTCGATTTAAATGGTGCACTTTTTTTTGTTTTCAGCACTTAAAAATGTCTAAAAAAAGAAATATGTGAAAATCAAATATCGTCTGTTTTCTCTCCGTGTTATAAACTTTAAAAAATATTTTAGAGTATTTTTAGTGTGTATAAGTAAAGAGTGGAAGTTTTAGTTTGTAACGTTTATATAAATATATATATAAAAAACAGCAACGTGACTTTTGTGGTTTTGTTATTCATGAATCAGTTTGAATGAAGCTGCCGTGACGCATTCAGGAAATAAAGAAATGCTTTGAGTTTAAACGATTAAACAATAACTCGCAGCGGCATGAAGAGTTCATCGATCCACATCAGCAGATAAAACGTTTTCTAAGGATCAGAATCGAGCATCCGACTCATTCACACAATTTAACTTTAATTGAGTGTTTCCTAGAGAGGGTCAAAGAGAAAGTCAAACAACTGTTAAAATATATTAAAAGAATACGAAAAATGTGTAGAGAAAGTCAGAAATCTGCCAAAAAAAGTGTTAAATCTCCCCAAAAAACACCTGAAAGTAAAACACTAGGTTCACTAGTACTTTTAATTTACTTTCAGTACATTTCGCTTATATTACTATTACTTCAGTCAGTTTTTGAACACAGGAGTTATATCCATGTGTTGTTAATTAAACTTGTTCTGATTAATTAAACCAACCTGTGCAGACGCTGATGATAACCCAGCTTCAGGTGTTTCCCTCATCGATGAGTCAGTGTGGAGAAAGTTAACACTCCTTTAATTACTTTAAAGTTGTAACAGTGAGTCATTGCTGGTGTTAATATCCTGCTTCCTGACGTGCGCTTTCAACTTTTTTGTGACACCGACGGAAAACCAAATGAAGCCGAGGTGAGTCACTGAGTTTAAAACAATCGCACAATTATCCAGAACAAGCAATGAAGAGCGCTGAGTCACTGTTAGCTGAGTCACTGTTAGCTGAGGTGACACAAAATGCACCAATATCCTCTAAATATGACGCATTAAAGAGGCCCTTTTTGTTGAGGGGTTTTCCCTCTCCTGTAGTGTGTTTTATATGTAAATGGTCTACAGAGGCTAAAATCCCAAAGTTCCCGAAACATAGTGATATCACAGGAGAGGACTCTTTAAAGTAGAGACACTACATACTGATATACACCTGAACACCAGCAGGAGAGGACTCTTTAAAGTAGAGACACTACATACTGATATACACCTGAACATCAGCAGGAGAGGACTTTTTAAAGTAGAGACACTACATACTGATATACACCTGAACATCAGCAGGAGAGGACTCTTTAAAGTAGAGACACTATATACTGATATACACCTGAACATCACCAGGAGAGGACTCTTTAAAGTAGAGACACTACATACTGATATACACCTGAACATCAGCAGGAGAGGACTCTTTAAAGTAGAGACACTACATACTAATATACACCTGAACACCAGCAGGAGAGGACTCTTTAAAGTAGAGACACTACATACTGATATACACCTGAACATCAGCAGGAGAGGACTTTTTAAAGTAGAGACACTACATACTGATATACACCTGAACATCAGCAGGAGAGGACTCTTTAAAGTAGAGACACTACATACTGATATACACCTGAACATCAGCAGGAGAGGACTCTTTAAAGTAGAGACACTACATACTGATATACACCTGAACATCAGCAGGAGAGGACTCTTTAAAGTAGAGACACTACATACTGATATACACCTGAACATCAGCAGGAGAGGACTCTTTAAAGTAGAGACACTACATACTGATATACACCTGAACATCAGCAGGAGAGGACTCTTTAAAGTAGAGACACTACATACTGATATACACCTGAACATCAGCAGGAGAGGACTCTTTAAAGTAGAGACACTACATACTGATATACACCTGAACATCAGCAGGAGAGGACTCTTTAAAGTAGAGACACTATATACACCTGAACATCAGCAGGAGAGGACTCTTTAAAGTAGAGTCACTACAAACTGATATACACCTGAACATCAGCAGGAGAGGACTCTTTAAAGTAGAGACACTACATACTGATATCCACCTGAACATCAGCAGGAGAGGACTCTTTAAAGTAGAGACACTACATACTGATATACACCTGAACACCAGCAGGAGAGGAC